CTCGGCGGCCCGCATCCATGCATGAACAGAGCGGCGAGAGCCGTGCCTTGCGGGGGACATTACCGAGAAGGGGCACACGCAAACACCTTTGTAATATCCTGCAATCCCCACAGGCAAAAAAGAGGCAGGCCACAGTGCTGAACAATGCAGTTTTGAATTCAATTAAAGTGATTATCTGTTGTGCCAAATAAATTGTGTACAGCATATATCCTGTAGCCCTTTACACCTTCAGGCTCATTATTTCCTAACTGTTTCCTCCTGTTTATGCGCTTTCAAATTAAATTGCTGATAATATGCGCCAAAATAAAAAATGAGCGCACCTTGTCCGAAGAAAATTGATTCTCCTTTCCTCCTGAAGCGGGCGATTGCCAGGTTTTATATACTCGGTTCCTGGCGATCATTAGTAATTCAATTTTCTTTTTATTAGCCCCCTTATCTGCTGAGCAATATAGTGGCAGAGCTGACCTCTTTCGCACGGGTAAATGTTTAAAATCTTTTCCCTGATTAATTTTGCCAGTTAAGGAAAAGAGGAGAAATGGCCCGTCTCTTAAGCCATCACAATGAATATAGCTTAATGTTGATTGTGATGGAATTTCTAATGCCAAGGAAATTGATTGAACGCAGCAATTACGCCGCAATACTAACTCAAGGGAAATGGGATGGGTTTCTCCTGGCCATAGTCTTTTGGTTATTTAAAACAATCCAATTTGCAAGGATAATTATATATTAGTGTTTTATCTGCCACTTGAAATGAACATGGGAGTTTTGATACTGGCCCAGCATTAGCAGGTTATTGCTGCAAATTACTTGATATCTGCTTTCTTTCACATAAAGAGGAAATTAGGCAATCAATTACCAGAAAAAGGTGGACAAGGGAGAAAAGAAGGGGCAAGACTGCCCCCTGCAGGTCAGAGGGGAGGCGATGTCACGTGCACCTTTGCCAGAGCAAGGGCAGGAGCCCAGCTTTGCTGCTGGGTGGCCCGAAAAGCGGCACCGCACGGCACGTGGGCCGCACCGCATGTGGACACCGTTTGGGAAATGCCGGAGAGCAGCCTCGAGGCACACGGCTGCTGGCCTGACGGAGGGAAGAGAGGGTGCCACCTCCAACCGTTCGCCAGGACTCGTTCTTAACGCTCCAAGCTCACATCTCCAACGGACCGGACCTCGGCAGAGCTGACTCAGGCCTGGCGAGCAGAGGCGTTCAAAGCACTGCAGGAATGTAACAGCGTTGATCTGATGGGGCGAAGAAAGTTTACAACTCCCAACAGCCCGAAAGCTCCCCTCTCTGCACCTCTGTTCATAAGGGAACCAAACTCCCCCGAGACCTAAACACGCAGCCACCAGCAACCGCTCATTCAGAAGCAACGGGTTTGTCACCGAAGTAACTCCGGCACAAGCGGCCGTTTGCCCCAGTACTTCCTCTCGAGGCCTTGCACACAGGTCTGAGCGCAGCTCCGATACTGACGCCTTGGCCTGATCACGGCCCAAGGGTTAAACAGGTATACCAGATGGAAACCTTCCAGGAACGGTGACTCTGCGTGGAACATGCGCACAAGCCAGAGTTTGCTACCAGGCACTTGTACACCTGTGTGGAGGATCAGCACCTCTCACCTGAGAGGTCGGAATGCCAAGAGGCCTTTTAGACTATTTGCTGTTCTTGCACCACCCAAATACACCATTCTGTAACTCTGGGCAGGAGTGGAAGGGGAAGGTGGCCTGTGCCATTCTCCGTATGTTGCTGGGCATAATCTTCTCTCTGCCAACAGGGCCAAGTCACAACAGCCTGCCCTAAAAGACAGAAGTGATCCCACAGGAGTCATAAGACTATGCAGACCCAGAACGTCCGCTGTCGGGGGCCAAGGCTGCCGCCTTTCCACCCCTTCCCGCCCACTGTCCAAAAGTCATACTCACAACCCCAAACCAGCTCTGCACACATCTTTGCGAATTACTTCACACTGGAGTTGGCTTTGGAAGGCATGGGAGTTCCTGCCCCACTGCTGTGTTTGTGGATGCAGCGCAAGATGCAGAATGTCTTCCCACAGAAATCCTGCCTCGCCCAACAGGAAGCACAATTGGTACGTTTCTGTTGCACACACGGTTGAATGCGAAGGCTGGAACTATCTGCTATATTTGCGGAAAAACCAATCAGTAAACACAGATTCTTTGTGATCCAAGGGGATCTTCTTTGGTCCCTTGTCTCAAAGAGCTGGAGGATCCCTTCCTATTTACTCACTAGGCCAGAATAATAATCATTTACTATGTACAAGGCTGCTGGCAAAGGTATATACTGTCACTCTATTTCTCTCTGTTCTTCCAAGGCTACCGTGTTCTAGCTCGAGCTCATTAAGGCAAAATACTGGCCCCGTTCTGAATTGTATCTCGACTTAAGTCAGCAGAATGCCTTTTGTTCACCATAACTACAGTCGCCAGCTTCGGGGCAAGCCAGGATACTAGTCCAGCTTCAAGACCTGGTTTAATACTGTGGTTTGCGCGAAGGCAGCCACCACAGTTTTCCAGTTTGGACAGAACAGGCGAGTGGGCTTCCCAATTTGTCCATGCAGGCAAAGCGCTCTTCGCCTCAACCCAGCCAGCACTGCGCAAGCTGAGCGGCACCCGGGACCACTTCCACGAAGGCTCCTCGGAGGACATCCTCAACACGGCTGCTCAGAACTAAGCCCGACTGCGCTTGATGACTGACTCACAGGACTGCTGCCGGAAGGGCACGAAGTCCACGTCAGCCCATGGGGTACGCAGAATATTCCTAAGAAAAGTCACTTGCAGCCGTGGCTTATGAAGCAGCATCTTTTAAGAATATTAACTGCGAAATAAAGTGACTGCAAGTTTTCGGCACCTGCACGATAGTTAAACACGTCATAAATAAGGAACAACGAACACAGCTCCTCCATTGTTAACAGCTGTAAATAGCACTTCCCAGCAGCCACTTGTGGTTGAGGCACCTCGTTACTGATCATTTAGCCTGCACACGTGTGGATGGCAACAACGGCAGAGTCACGCAGCGTGAGACGCTCAGCCAGCTCAGCTTCGGCAGCAGTGCTTGCTCAGCCATCCTCAGGTGGATGGCACATCCGAATGACTCCAAACTGGGGAGTGTTGGCTTGGCTACTTTCTTTTAAAAGGGAAAAAACGAATTATCTTTCATTTTCTTGACTTCCAAAAACAGATGACATGGCCAGTCACTCTCCTGATCTTCTCTGAGCAAAAGTGTTAAGCTTGGCTATAACTTTTACTTGGGCTAACTCCATAAGAGGAACCTAGTGCCCTGGGTCAATTTGAGTATCTCCTAGTCCCTCCTAGCAAACAACCCAGGGGAGTGCTTGGCTTGATGTGAACAAGGAATGTTATGGATTTTTTTAATCGGCCCGGCATTAATAAATAAATGTTGCTTGTTTATATTGCTTTATGTCAGAGGTGGGCAACAGGGCATCCATGGCGTACCCAAATTCCATGCTGAATGGCCCAATCTAGCGTCGCTCGTCCCAAAGGGGCAAATCTAGCTTACCGACAAGTTAAATTCACCTACAATAGTGTTCAGTAGCTGTGCAGAGAGGTTTGGGACTGAATTCTGCACCAACCTGTGATTTCAGCCTTTTTTGCTGGGTAGCCAGACTGAGGCCTCCCAGTGAAAATGGCCCCCGGACTTCTAGCAGGTGCCCTGCTTTGCACTCTGCCTCCGCTGTGGTCCAGGGAACTCACTCATCTTTACGAGGCAGGCCAGACACATTCCCCCTCGCCCCAGAGAGCTGACATGCTGCTCCCAGTTTTGGCAGGCCCTGGAAATGGGGGGAGGGGCAGGCACGCCAAGAGTTCTTTCAGCATTCCCTGTGCCGTTTATGCCAAGACTTGGAGACTGCATGGGAAATTCAACCAAGCCGGAGCCCTCGGCTCACACCAGACCTCCTTAACAAGTGACACCAGCCCTTTAAATAAAGCCTGTGACTTGGTTCGGCACATCCACTTTGCAAGTCTTAGTAAAAAAGCCACTTTATATGTTTTTAGACCTGTCATTGGACCAAGAGACCGCAAGATGGCTTCCAATGACCAAAGTCAATAAAATGGCAGCCCTGTCGCCACTCAGTAATAGTAAGGCAAGATTTTTCAGTCTTACAGAAAAAAAAATTCAGCACTAGCTTTTCCCTTTCTCCAAAAAAAAAAAAAAAAGAACTAATTTTTCACTATTCTGTTTGAGAGCAAAATACCAGGCACAATCCAAAGGCATACCAGAATGTCAGTTCTCCCTTCCTTGAAGCGCATGCCCTCAAAATTGCAAACTGCTTCTTGGATTTCCCAAAGTCTCCAAAGCTGCCAGCAAGAAAACGCTGACGATTTGGAGTCTCTACTTCACCCACACACCTAGCGTGAGCAACCTAGGCTGCATCACACTCTGGTGGAGAGCTTGCAACTGCCCCAGGCCACCAAGCGACCTTTGAAGCTTCATGGACACCTGAACCCAGGACTCCTTGGTCCTCGTCGGATCACAGCATGTTACCAGTTCTCAACCACCCACTTTGTCTTGGACAAAAGCAACAACCTGATCCAAGAAATCTTTGCAAACTGCAGAAGTCTTTCATGCAGAGAGTTATTTGGGAGCCAATTACAGAAGCAGATTCGGCAGGGGGAAAGGTGGCTGATGTAAGACTGATGACACAAAGGCACTGGATGCTGGAATGAATTAAACAAGCCACGGTTCAGTCCAGCCACAGAGTCACAGCAGTGGCTCGCGCTGCCAGCCTCCCCAGGAAAACCTCAGGTACCAAAGGAAGTGGTCAGACCCCCAGCCCAAGATATGCAGCCACACCTCACAGCTTCTTGCAACTTTCAGAGGGCTGCAAGTTCTCAGAAGATAATATTTCAAACTTACAGCCTGCTTCTTCTTACCAAGCCAACAGGCCGCAAGGCAGCCCTTGAGTCTTCTAGGGCAGAAGCAGTGAAGTTTAAATTAAGCGCACACACAAGCCACACTGTTCTGAGTCGATCCTTACCTTCTTTGGCTGAGCGGGATGCAGGCAGTCGACGCAACCTGTGCTTGCCGATCTGAACAAGGCCCTTCGCCCCAGCTCTCTTGGCGGCTGGAGAGGTCCTTCCCCTCGGGGAATTTCTTTTCCTGAGGCAATAGCGGCTTTTCAGAAGCATGGCAGGGGCAGCTGTGCTTCTTTTATCAGACGGAGAGCTGGAAGGACAATAAAGGTTCTGACCAAGCTATGACCACAGTTCTCCATCTCTCCCACCTGGGGAACGAGCCAGTTCATATGGACTCAAAGTTACCAGACTGCCAACAAAAATCACTCTCACATGGGTCAACTGCAGGAATGTTTCAATCCAGCCAGAGCCTAAAGGGAAAAAGATTCAACCACAATGGCCTGGGGTTTCAGCCACAGAGACCTCCCCATTTCCCAGCCCCGGCCCATCACCTTGTTTGCCCGACTAAGAGCAAGTCCAATTTGCCCTGACCACTACGTCTGTCCGGCGCGGAGCACACTACTAGTGCTGAACAGAAAACAAACAAGATTGTAATGAGCAACAGAAAAATCAAGCACACTCACCAAGTATCTGCCCATCTGTACAGCACTGTTTCCCCCCACACCCGTTTCTGAGGTGGCTGAGTGAATGTTGCTTGATTCTTACAGCAGAAACTAATTGTGCAAATTGTGATCTATATTCTCAGAACGAGCCACATCAGGTGAAGGAAATAACTATGAGGCAGCAGACAATCAGGGACCAGAGATCACAGGAAAAACTAGATGTGCTGACAACACAAGCATTTGAAACCACATGTTGGAACGGAGGGGAAGGGTCACTTGTTTGAATGTTCCAGTTAATTTTTTAAAAAATGAAGTCAGCACATAAAGGGATAGCCAAGGCAAACTCCTGTATCCTGGCACACTATTTCTCTACAGGAAATATATTTTTGCTGTGGAAAAGCTTGCAAGCAAACACTCCCATGCTTGTATTCAGAAATTGTATGGGGTCACCTCAGCTTTTCCTATAAAAGGCACCTCAGGCTCCGGACATCGGACCAGGAAAGGATCTGATCCCAGGAACCACTTCAACTCCTAGAGCAGAAACTGGCTCTTGATTTTTTTTCCAGAGCCACTGGAAACCTCTATACTTGTCATGGCTTCACAGATTTTCACAACACTCCCCTGCCTGCCACTGCACCTATGTTGACACACCTAGTATCCAACAAATACAGCTGCCTGAACCCTCTCCCAATCCCTGGCAGAATTCATCCCAAGAACAGAAGGCAGTGTCTAACAGAACTTCCGTACAACTTACTCATCTGCAAACTAGAATATAAAAATAACAGATGCAAAACCTTGGAAGAATTGTGAGCAAAGATGTGAATGGCTTTTGTGTTTTCCTGAAAAGCCAGAAAGATTTGAGATAAAAACATCTTATTCCTCAAGTTACCCCAGATTGCTGGGCTGGATCCTCCCCATCCATCCCAGTTTTACTGGCTTTTTATTTCCAAGCATTCAGATCTCTAACTGTGGCACTCACTCCTGACACAATAACTTACCAGAAACTCCCCTTTCTCTTGATGATTTTGGTCCGGCTCTTCAATTTATAATTTAAAAAGCTTGTATTTCCAGAGAAGGATTTTGGATTACCGTGACCAAGAGGCCCGCGTCTCACAGGCTGAAGTGAAGAACTGGCTCCCACAGGGAGGGGAAAAGCAGCCCCACCGCATTCCTTACGCTGCCATGTAAATGCAGAAGTGGAAGGAGAAGGCTGGAGACTAAACGCCTTCCACTTATACTGACTAGACGAAATCCCCAGTTTCGAATGCAGGCTAGATTTCTTTTGCTTGGTTCCCAAGTCCCCCCTTGGGTGTAACCTGGACACTGGCTCCACACCTGCACTAAACTTGCGGGCATTTTCAGGGGCTCTAGAAGTTGCATATCTTTTCACCGTTCTGAGGGATTTACACGAGTTTGCCACCCACGTGTAGTTGGTTCTCCTGAACCTCAAGGATTTGACAGAGGCAGGTGAGGCAGGGGACCTCTGAAGGACAGGTACTGAATTCTCATTCTTCAGGAGAGTCGTCTCAACAGCCGAAGATGCTTCCCAGGCCGAATTAGCACATGCCAGAGATGCATCAGCAGCCCTTGATGAGTTTGGTTTATCCATCACAGAAGCCACTTGCTGTGAGCTATACAGAGTGGGAAGGTTTGATGCTGGTTTCTTTCGTGCTGACAGATAATCCGATTCATGATTAGGCAAGGTCAGAGGCTGCTGAGGCTCCGATTTCAACGCAACAGCGCTCTCACTGGTCGTCCTGCACAAGTCTGGAGCCACTTTAGATGCCCCCTGCCCCCCTTTCGCAGCCACGATTCCCATCCCACACATTGCAGGTGCGTCATTCCTGGAAGAGGTTCTGCAGTGCAATACGTCTGGCAAGGTGGAGGCACATGATTCTTTGCTCTCCTTTGAGCCACTCTTTGCAAGGCCAGCAGTGCTAGTTCTGTGCCCTCTAAAAGCCAACACTGGGCCAGCAGTGTGGCTCACGGCTGGGCCAGCAGCATGGCTCACGGCTGGGCCAGCAGCTACTCTGAAGCCCACATTTCTTCCTGAAATCATTGGCTGTGACTCAGCCACCTCAGCAACCGTGTGGCTTGGGAGGATCCGAGAAGTGCATGCAGGAACATTGCTTCCTGAAGAAAGTGTCAGCCGAGGTGGTACATTGACGAGCGAATACTTCTTTCTCCAGGCATTGGCACTGCTTGGGCAAGCCGGGAAATCTCTCTGGGTTTGCTGGGCATACCTTGCAGAGAACGCCCCATGGGTGTTAAAGGCAGGAGGTCGGGGGTTTCTCCACCTCGACGTTGGGGCAGGAGGAGGAACTGGCACATCCCCATGGACATTTTTATGGTCATTGATGAGACCTGGAAAGAAAGGGAGAAAAGGTGCCTATTAGTTATACCTCCAAACGCTCATTGGGCCGCAGCCTGAAAGCTTTCTTCCACCTGCAGCACAACCTGCACAGATCACTGGCACATCCACACCATCCTGGCACGTCCACTGTGCATGAGAAGCCCCATACTGAAGAGCGTACAACGCCCCCTTTAAGGGGTCAATTTCATGGCAGCACAGTCCAGGGACACTGCCGCAATCACCCCACAAGCCCGCTCGACTTTAGCCGAGGCCTCCCAAAGGCAGCCCCGAAAAACAGGTTCTAAGGCAAACCGGCTGGCAGATCCCTGGCGTGACTGCGGGGGGGCGCCCCGTCAGAGCCCCACGATCCACCACGGCGGGCAATTACGCGCATCCGCACGGCGGGAAGAAGGCCACCCGCTGTGGACAAGGCCGGGCCTGCGGGTGGGGCGGCAGGGGCGGCGGCTGCCGTGGCCCCAGGCCGGGGGTAGGGGGTCGGGCCGGGACCCTGCGCTGGCGGGTCCGGCCCGCGCCCCGAGGGCCTGAGCCCGCCCGCAGCACTCACCTTGGAGCAGGCGAATCTGGCGCTTCAGCTGCTCCTTCTCCTCCATTCCCCGCGCCGCCGCCTCGTCCCCCGGCCGGCGATCCAAGGCCCGACTCCGGCTCTGACGCTGCGACCAGCGCCCGCCCTCTGGCGACCCGTAGCGCGGCCCTCTTCCGCTTTCGTCATAGCTGCGCGCGCACCACCGCCCAGGCCATAGAGATACGCTTTAAACGAGACTGACTTCTGCTTCTCGTTAGAACACGGCCCGGCCGAACAGCCTGCGGACTTGCTCTCCGTCCTGGCGTCGCGGGAGAGCCAGAAGTGTGCCCCCGCCCTTCTGCGCCGGGGCACTCGCACGCCTCCCGCCTTGACTGGGCCTCTTTCTTCTCTGGCGCCCCCCCATTGAGAGGCGTACCTCCTATGGGCCTCCGCGCCGCCCCGCAGCTCGGGCGAGGCCACAGGCGGCGGGAGGGGCACCGCCGCGGGCCGCCACCCTGCGCGCCGGGGGCTCTTCCCGCGGGATCCCCGGGCCGGCTGGCTCTGACCCGGACGCAGCCGCCCGACGCCCCCCGCCGCGCAGCGGGGTCTCCTCGGGGCAGGGGGCGCGCGGGCCCCGTGCTGTGAGCCCCGCAGCGGGGCCGTCCCGCTTGGAGCTCCCGGGCTCGGCGTGGGCCGCCCGCTGCCCTGGCTGAGGGTGGCCACTTAGACTGCACCCGAGAAGGAAATGCATCACCCCCCCCCAAAAAAACCCCTGTGCATTACCCGCGCCCCCGAAAGCTAAAAGGAGGTAAACGGCCAGAGACCTGTATCAAGCGATGCATATGCGAATTTATATGTATAAATGTGAGCTTGGAAATAGGGGTAGGACTTCAAATAAAGCTACCAAACGTACATCTGGGCACAAGTGAGATGGCTGTGAGCAGGCGGGCAAATTCCAGGCCCGTTTGCTACTTCTTGGCTCGCAACCGGACTTGAGCAGACCGGCCCTTTCCCCAAAGCCCCGTCCCCCATGAAGTGGGGTCTGCAGCCACCCAACATGGACTTCCACTGAAACGTGAAGCTCTGGGTTTGCACTGCTAAACTTTCAGGCACTGGGAGCTAAATAAATGTATTGCTCCGCCATGAAAAAGCAATATATGATGAACCTATGTTTTGTAAGGGCAATTTCCAATTAACATGCAGTTATATGATGGTTGAAGGGCTTTCTGTGTGATCCTGTCTTAAGAATGCCGGCCAACTTCTCCAGATCCCTCCATGGGTTGGGACCAGTGGCAAGGTCTTTTTGATTGTACCATATATCAGGAATTTCCTTAACAAGGAAGGCCAGCTTGGTGCGAGATGAAAACATTTTGTTTGCCACGTCATTGAGATGCTCTAATGTTTTGAAAGGAGAGTCCGCTGCTGCAAAGATCTGTACTCCATAGGAACCTGGAATGTAAGATCCATGAATCAAGGCAAGCTGGACATGGTCAAACAAGAGATGACAAGACTGAACATCAACATCTTAGGAATCAGTGAACTAAAATGGACAGGAATGGGTGAATTTAATTCAGATGACCATCAGGTATACTACTGCAGGCAAGAATCCCTCAGAAGAAATGGAGTAGCCTTCATAGTCAATAAAAGAGTAGGAAAAGCAGTACTGGGATACAATCTCCAAAATGACAGAATGATCTCAGTTCGAATTCAAGGCAAACCATTCAACATCACAGTAGTCCAAGTCTATGCCCCAACCACTGGTGCTGAAGAGGCTGAAGTTGACCAGTTCTATGAAGGCCTACAACACCTTCTAGAATTAACATCAAAAAATGATGTCCTTATCAAAATGGGGGATTGGAATGCTAAAGTAGGAAGCCAAAAGATAACCGGAATAACAGGCAAGTTTGGCCTTGGAGTGCAAAATGAAGCAGGGCACAGGCTGGTAGAATTTTGTCAAGAGAATACAATGGTCATAGCAAACACTCTATTCCAACAACCCAAGAGACGACTCTACACATGGACATCACCAGACGGTCAACACAGAAATCAGATTGACTATGTGCTCTGCAGCCAAAGATGGAGAAGCTCTATACAGTCAGTAAAAACTAGACCAGGAGCTGACTGTGGCTCAGACCATGAGCTTCTTGTTGCAAAATTTAGGCTTAAATTGAAGAAAGTAGGGAAAAGCAGTAGGCCACTCAGGTATGACCTAAATCATATCCCTGATGAATATACAGTAGAGGTGACAAATAGATTTAAGGAATTAGATCTGATAGACAGAGTGCCTGAAGAACTATGGACAGAGGTTCGCAAGAAAGAGCTTAACGTCCCTGATAACCACAATGGGGTGGTCACTGACCTCGAGCCAGACATCCTGGAATGTGAAGTCAAATGGGCCTTAAGAAGACTTAGCAACCACAAAGCTACTGAAGGTGACAGTATTCCAGCTGAGCTATGCAAAATCCTAAAAGACGATGCAGTAAAAGTGCTACACTCAATATGCCTGCAAATTTGGAAAACTCAACAGTGGCCACAGGATTGGAAAAGGCCAGTTTACATTCCCATCCCAAAGAAGGGCAATGCCAAAGAATGTTCAAACTACCGCACCATTGCACTCATTCCACATGCTAGCAAAGTGATGCTCAAAATCCTACAAGCTAGGCTCCCGCAGTATGTGGACCGAGAACTACCAGAAGTACAGGCAGGGTTTCGAAGAGGCAGAGGAACCAGAGATCAAATTGCCAACATACTCTGGATCATGGAGAAAGCTAGGGAGAGCCAGAAAAACGTCTACTTCTGCTTCATTGACTATGCTAAAGCCTTTGATTGTGTGGATCACAACAAATTGTGGCAAGTTCTTAAAGAAATGGGAGTACCAGACCATCTTATTTGTCTCTTGAGAAACCTATATGCGGGTCAAGAAGCAACAGTGAGAACTGGACATGGAACCTCTGATTGGTTCAAAATTGAGAAAGGAGTTCGGCAAGGCTGTATACTGTCATCCTGCCTATTTAACTTATATGCAGAGCACATCATGAGAAAGGCGGGGCTGGATGAATCACCAGCTGGAATTAAGGTTACTGGGAGAAATATCAACAACCACAGATATGCAGATGATACCACTCCCATGGCAGAAAGTGAAGAGGAACTAAAGAGCCTCTTGATGCCGGTGAAGGAGGAGAGCACAAAAGTTGGCTTGAAACTCAACATTAAGAAAACTAAGATCATGGCATCCGGTCCTCTCACTTCCTGGCAAATAGATGGGGAAGAAATGGAGGTAGTGACAGATTTGATTTTCCTGGGCTCCAAGATCACCGCAGACGGGGACTGCAGCCAAGAAATTAAAAGATGCTTGCTCCTTGGGAGGAAAGCTATGGCAAATCTGGACAGCGTACTAAAAAGCAGAGACATCACCCTGCCAACAAAAGTGCGTATAGTCAAGTCTATGGTTTTCCCAGTTGCAGTGTATGGCTGTGAAAGCTGGACCATAAGGAAGGCTGAGCGCCAAAGGATTGAGGCCTTTGAATTGTGGTGCTGGAGGAGACTCCTGTGAGTCCCTTGGACTGCAAGGCGATCAAACCGGTTAGTCCTAGAGGAGACCAACCCTGACTGCTTTTTAGAAGGCCAGATACTGAAGATGAAACTCAAATACTTTGGCCACCTAATGAGGAGGAAGGACTCCCTGGAGAAGAATCTAATGCTGGGAACAATAGAGGGCAAAAGAAGAAGGGGACGGCAGAGGATGAGGTGGCTGGATGGAGTCACTGAAGCCGTTGGTGTGAGCTTGAGTGGACTCCGGGGGATGGTGGAGGACGGGAAGGCCTGGAGGAATGTTGTCCAGGGGGTCGCGATGGGTTGGACACAACTTCGCGACTAACAACAACAACAGTGTTTTGAAGGTTTTAGGCCAATTAGTCTGTTCTGTTGTGATCTTTTTCATTTTGCATTTATTGTTTGTTTTGAACTTGTAAACTAATATTACTACTGCAGGAATCCCATAATTTGTATAATCTGATGTATGGAGACCCAGGCCTGTTAAATGGAAAAGACCTGAGTAGATGCATGGCTCCTTGGATTTTGTTTTGTTTTTCTAATGTCCTCTCCCAATCATTTTTCTAAATGCGTTCCTTTTTACTAGTACATTTTATTTTTCATAAAATCAGTATTTTTGATCTATTCCTCTGCCAGTAATAAGGTCTGGGAAGCAGTCACACGAATGCTGAGAGAGACACACACAACCTTCCAAGAATACACTGGCATTTGCTGTACGCCACTAACACTGCAGTGGTGAGAACACTTGTTTTATGAGTAATTCGCTGTGGTGCAGGGGAGGGCAGCTTAGAAAAGCGAGCCACCGAGGCTGTTGGCACTGTCTTGGCAGGCGTGCCATGTGCAAGAACATATCCCGGGGAAGGTGGAATGCTTAAGGAAAATTAAATTGTTTAATTCATCCTGGAATAAGCACAGCACTAATCCTGCTAATGAGTTCGTACTCACCCAGAACTATGGATCTTGCACCAAGCATGCGCTAGGACCCAATTAACTTGCTTGCATGTTTGAAATTGGAGCCTCGTCGCATTGGGCTCTGGCTGAAGGAGTCTCGGTGACTTATGAGAAATTTGCTGAGAAGAGGAAAACTGCTCAACTTTGGGGAGAGCTGAGCCAGCGAATTGTGGAGACCTGAAAAAGGACCGGGGGGGGGGAGGGAGAGAAAGGCCATCAGGCTGCCAGCAGCATTTAGATTTGTTTCTTAAAAGAATGTCTGCAAAAGAATTTGCAGAGGGAACAGGCTAGGAGCTACAGAAATCCTGCACAGGTCGCTGCTCCCACCTCCATGAGAGCAGCCTTCAGAGGAGAACCACATTCTTCAACTGGGCAAAGCTGCCCAGGTGTGGTTGCCAACTGACCAGGAAAACTCAGCCCTGCCCTGCACTTCTGCCTTATCAGCAGTCACACATGCGAAAACTGGCCTAGAGAGGAGGCAACAAAGCTCAGCCGATTATTGTCCATCACTCTTGCTCAAGATGCAGCTCCAGGTGAAATCGGGTGAAAAGACCATGGCCTTCATTTGAAGGACAGGCGCTGAAGCTTTCTTTGGCCCGAGGACTGCGTTTGATTTGCTTTGTGTGCTTGTCTAAATGCCCCTTCCACAATCCTCGGGGCGCTTCCGTGGAAGCAGGCGCCTCTCCGGCGTGGGAGTGGAACCAGCAGATCCTTTCCCACGGGCCACGGACGGCGGCCTTCCTTGGTGCCCTCCAGACAAATCCCACAGTGCCTCCACTGAGCATCCTGACTGGGGAATGCTGGGAATGGTAGTCCAGCACAGCTGAAGGGCACCAGGGTGGTGAAGGCTGACCTGTGGCACATGGGTCCTATGGACCAGCGGCCAAGGTAGCTAAGCCAAATCAGGTAGGTTAAATCCAAAGGAGGTTGGGAGGGTCTGCAGAGGGTCTCTCCGAGCTGAGAGCATGAACCTCGCCGTGGCAGGATAAGCCGGAGTGAAGCGACGCATGTTGCGCCAAAGGCCAGCTTCCCGCCAGCCGGGCGGACGGTCGGTCGGGCAGATCAAAGGCCTACTCGGACGCCTCGTACTTTCTGCAGTTCTCATCTTTTGTTCTGAGCTGAACTGTTGAAATGTTGCAATGACATTTAATGTTCAATTGTTTGTGCAAACCTTCTCTTCACTTTTAGTTTGTAGAAGAGCTTTACATATGGACAAGTGTATTCATGTGGTTGTTGTTGTAACTGCGTGTCACTGCGAAACTGTGCTGGAGATTTCTGGAAGTTTTCTTGCTTGCTTTTTGTTTCTCGGTGTTCAACCAAGAAGTAGGAACTGGAGCTC